AACCTCACTATTACTTACCCGGTGATCCCAGCAGACGCCAGCAATATTTCTAAGGCATCTGTGGTCAAATACTAGTAGCTTACGAGTGTCTTCTACTCCTAGTCGCCATGTTTCGCTGCCGTAACTTAAAACAGAACGGACTGCCGCGCAGTATACTCGTCCCTTAATCGATAGACGGATATCTCCAGAATGAGCGACAATCTTCTATCGACCCTCTCCTACGATGAATGATGGCAATATGGTCTATTTGAGTCCATCGTTGGTTTGGTGTAGGGGGTCACCATGTTAGATGATGTCTCTTCTTGTGCTTAAAATTTGTTTGCTAAAAATAAACGATTGTCTGAGCACAGTTGCAGCAGACGATCACCATTATCTGTTCGTTGTGCCGGAATACTAAAATACCCTTCATAATGCCTTTCTGTTTGGTTTAAACTACCTATCTGTGTATTAAAGTCACCTGCTACGAGTACTATGCCTGAGCGTTTAGCTTTCTGTAAAATTCATCTTTCACTGCATCTGAGCTGCAGTCGGTGGGAGCGTAAGCAGAAACGACAAAAAGGCAACGACCTGTGTCCCTATCTTTCCGAGTTCTTACGGAGCCGTTTAGCCGAACAGCACATAAACGACTGTTAACGGGGATCCACTCTAACAGTGCTTGTTCGGCCCTCATGCTTAGTGCTATGCCTACACCTGCCAGTCCACGAGAACTTGCCATCGGGTCACCAGATACACGAAGGGTGTATCTCGTTGGCTCTCCGTTTTGCCGAGGTGAGGTCAAGTGAATAACCATACTGGAATCCTGTATGCGTGTTTCGGAGACACAGCACACGTCAATCGTAAGAGACTCTAGGGTTTTAGCCAAGGAAGCCTGCTGACCGATTTGACATAGGGTGCGTACGTTGAAGGCTTCAATGTGTAGTTTGGAGCGAGGTTTCAGTAGACCTGGGACAGTGTTTTGAGCACTAGAATCGTTGGCTATGGTGACACTTGAGGAGGAAGCCGAAAAAGGAAGTTTAGCGTTGGAAGTCGATATAGGAGGAATAATAGGAATTGAAGTGGGAGGTTGATTACGAATAAAGTGGTCTTGAGTGCTGTTAGAAGTATGAGGGCGGTTATCACTTCCCGGTTGCCCACACCGTGGAAGGGTTCTTCTGGAGGTACCTGAAAAGGAAATTGGATTAGAGGTGGTCTTAGTGACCTGAGAGCGTGACCGCAGTGCCCAAGAGACAACTGCTTGAGGTCGGTCACACACGACCTTGTTATGGGTAATTTTTGTGTTAGCTCCGTACTTATTGAGACCTTACCGCCGGAGACGGATATCCGTGGGATAAGGCGAGGTGTGCATTTTTAGGGTCGACCTTTTCTAACCCCACCCCTCCTTGTGGGAAGGCAGCATCCCTGTCATGCTGGTTGTCTGAAGGAAACACCTTACTGCTGTCACACCTCTGTACAGTCAGCAGTACGACTTCGCCTTCGGACCTTAGATTTGTTGCTTTTGGTCTAGCCGCTCTTCAACCGACCTGTCTGACATGATAGGACCTTGAGGAACGGTTGTTCCAGCCAGTATAGCTCGGTTGCTTCATCACGATAGGCAAGCCCGACTACCACGTCAAGGTAGCAACAACGGTCGGTGATTTTGGCTGGCACATTGACGTGGTGATCTGGCTTGCTTATAGTGATGAACCGATAGAGTTATATTGGGTGGATTAATTGCTCCTGTAATCCACTCATCCCAAGCAGATTGGTTGAAGAACGGTAAGAGTAAAAGTAGCCAGATCGGAGAGTGAAGCTGTACTGCTGACTGTACAGGAGTGTAACAGCAGTAAGATATTTTTTCAGATAACCAGTATCTACAGAGTTACTGTTTTTTCACAACGAAGGGAAGAGGTTAGAAAAGGTTTTTCCTCAAATTGTCACATCTTATTGCACGTATTTCCGTCCTTGGATGTAAGACTGTTTGAAATACGGATCTAACACATCGAAAAATCAAAACAAAAAGACTGTGACCAACTTCAATCAGTGCGAAATTTATTGCAACAGTCATCGATAAAAGCTCTTAGTGAATTCGTTCAGTGACCACTTAAACAACCCCTCATACAGCCCTTCTAGGGCTACTGAGGACCCAAGGAGGGTTGGGAATGCGGTCGGCAACCCTATATCGTTGAAACCAAACTTGCTAAAAAACGCTAACCAGAAAAATTCATTTAAACTCTGCCCTGGAAGTTAAAAGATTTTCATTCAGGAGTGATGATACCTTACGGTGAAACCCCAAATTCTTCGAAAGTCACGAGACTGATGCCCCTCCTGACGACCAGAACAACAATTAACGTGGACACATAGAATTTCCGCACATATGGGAGATCGGGAAAACCATGTAACTCCAGAAATGAAGAGATACAACCTGGCGGTGCTCGCAATAAGTGAAACTCATTGGACACAAGTTGTAGCGAAAAGACTAGCTTCAAGAGAGGTACTTCTGTACTCTGGTCATGGAGAAGTAACTGCTGCACATACACAAGGAGTTGCACTGATGTTGTTTAAAAATGCATGGAAAGCACTCATTAATATGTAGAGCCAATCAGAAGTAGCAAAATGTTACTCGATGGTAAACAGAAGAGCGTAGTATACCACGTATCAGTATCAGATTTCGGACACCGCATGTCACAACACTTACAGGGTAAGAATTTCATGGATTCGGAATCATCAAAGCTTCCTGTAAAGCAAAGGAGGGAATTACAATGAATGTCATTCAGTGCTATGCACCCAACAATGAGAGCGAAGATCAGAATGGACAACACGGGGTATGAAGATATCATGAGTCGACATGGACTGAAAGAAAGGAAGTAAAATGACAGATTTGCAAAGCTATGTGCCTTCAACAAAATGGTTATAAGTGGCACAATATTCCTCCACAAAAGCATGTACACAGCTACACAAGTTTCACCGGACCATACTATGCAGAACCACATCGATCAGACTTGTATCAATAAAAAATTAACAAGGTCCATGGAAGACGCGAGAACAAAGAGAAGAACGGATGTAGTTTCATGCCACAACATGGGGGTGGTCAGGGTGGAACAAAATCTAAAGAAGCACTGAAAAACTGGAGAAGCAGCATTACAAAAGTTTAATACTGGCTTTCATCAAGATACTGACAAACCTGGAGAATTCAAGATAGTTCTCAGTAACAAGTTCCAAGCCTTACAGCATCTAACTGACGAATAAGAAACTAATATGCAGAAGATCTGGAAAGAGATCAAAAAAGCACTAACTTCAACAAGTTAGATACTAGGCCACAAGGGCCACCATCATAAAGTAAGGATCTTTATTAGTACGCTGAGCAAGATTCAATAAAAGAACAAGAGGACAGCAATTAACAACAACAGAACATAAGCAGATTAATTCACCGCACAGGCCAAATACAAATAAGCAAACAAGCGAGTGCAGAGGAGCATCAAATCTGACAAACAGAGGTACGTGGAAGACCTATCAATGACGGCGGGAAAAGATGCGAAAGAAAGAAATATCAGACAGCTATATGAAACAACAAAGAAGCTAGCAGGGAAATATAGTAAACCCGAGCGACAAAGGAGGAAAGCGAATCACTGAGGTTCAAGAACAACGAGTATAAGAGTAGAGCACTTCGAAGAACTCTCGAGTAGGCCAGCTCCATTGGATCCACCGGGCGTCGAAGCAGCACGCACAGGCCTGCTTATAGATGTCACACCACCAACGGTTGGAGAAATCAGCATGGCAGCCAGACAAATCAAGTGCGGCAAAGCAGCACGACCTGACAATATACCAGCTGATGCACTCAAGTCAGACATAGAAGTAACTGCAAACATGCTCCATATTCTGCTCAGGAAGATTTGAGAGGAAGAACAAGTGCTACCGATAGACTGAAAAGAAGGATACCTCATCAAGATACCAAACAAAGCTTTTAGAAGGCGAGAGAACCACAGAGGCATCAGATTGCTATTAGGACCAAGGAAATTTTCGAAAGCGTTGTTGAACCAAATGAAAGATTCAGTAGACGCCCAACAAAATGAATTCCGTAAGGAACGATCATGTACCGACCAAATCGTGACACCATTGGTCACTGTTGAACAGTTAATTGAATGGAATTCGTCACTGTACATCAACTTCATCAATTATGAAAAAGTATTTGACAATGTGGATAGGAAAATATTATGGAACCTTCTTCGACACCATAGTTTGCCTGAAAAGATTGTAACATCATGAGGAGTCCATACGATGGACTACCTTGCAAAGTCGTGAATGGAGGGTAGCCAACAGACGCATTCTAAGTGATGATTGGTGTCAGACAAGGTTGCTTACTTCAGCCCTTTCTCTTTCTTCTGGTGGTTGACTGGATTATGAACATCATCACAACTCAGGCGAAGCACAAAATACAGTGGACAACTAGGGTGGAGCAGGACGATCTGGATTGCGCAGACTACCTTTCCTATCCAATGCACAGGACAAAATCCGAGTGAGGACAGCCAGTGTAGCAGCAGCCTCTGTAGCAGTAATCCTCAACATACACACAAGGGAAAGAGCAAGATCCTGAGATACAACACACAACATTAGCAACAATCTACTCCGGCAGAGAACAAACCGGCTCCCAGATGAAGAGGAAATTAGGAGCAAATGCTGGAGGTGGATAGGAAATCTAGAACAACATATATAAGCGAACATTATTGTTTTCGATTAGATCCTCATCGGGCTTTACTCTAATATACAGTAATATTTATATGCATATATGAAATTATTAAACCAATCAAGGTAGTTTATAAAAATAGGAAATCATCAAACTTGGAGTTCTCAAGCAGAAAAAGAGACAGGCCAAAGGACACATTGCACCGGGAATCGGAGGCATACATAAAAGAATAAATAGCACTTAGAAGTGACTAGAATGTAGAGCACAGGACAGAGTTGATTAGAGAATCCTGGTCAGCGGCCCATATTCCGCGGGAGGTGACAAGTGTAGGTAGACTTACTTCGACGCAATCTCGAACGTTCTTCAGGGTGACACCACCATCAACTTCAATATCCAAATTTGCATACCTTTCACGAAGATACTTAACCTTGAGTAGAGTAAATAAGTCTTGAAATGTATTGATGTAAAACAAATACAGTAAAATAAAGATAAACTGTTGATAAAAATTATATATATATATATATATATATATATATATATATATATATATATATATAACAGTGAAATAGGTCTTTTAACGACTCTAACTCGCTATTCATTGCTGAAGATATCTTACGAATGTGGTTTGTAGAAGTTAGCTAACAAAAGACAAATTATTTGAATGAATTTAATATTAAATATCTTGTCCTTATGTGACATGTAAAACAAAGTACACTCTATTGTGGTTGTGTCAATCGAACATGAACAGCATCAATCTAGGATTGGAAAAACATCCTAACATATGCTCACTAAGTAGAGATATCAAATGATTACACAAAAACCCGAACTATTGTTAAATAAGCTGGTAGACGAGATCTTCTAAATATGGAGATTTATATTATCATACTGGATTGTTTACAGATATCATCAATGACGAAAACTGATTTGAATACAGAATATACTGAATGGAGTTATATCTAATGTGGATCGAATAAGCTTATCTCGTTGCATAAAAGTTCCTTAGTTCCCTTTGCGGATTTTCGGGCGATGCGAGTATAAGAGAATTGTGTACTGTTTGCTTCACTATCTGATACTTATGCGAGGATAGTATGCGGTGTGATTTCTTATTTGGTGTGCCTTGGATAAGTTATGTATATGGAGTAAAGGGTATTTGAGATAGATGCTGAGTGATTGTGATGCAATAAGATAAGTTTAGTTACCTTATTCTCCTCCCGAACTTAAGACTATAGTTAGAAGGCGTGCGTATTGGTGATCTGATAAGGGTGGAGTTTACGTTAGCTCAAGGTTAGTTGTTTCGGTCGAAATGTTTCACTAATCAGTATTAAGGACGCGAGGTTATAGACGAAGTAGCATACGCGGGGTAGAAAATTGTAATCTGGATTATAATTGGCGAATCTAGAAAGTGAAATTGTAATGAACAAGAACATAGGCAAGGACAACCAAATGCATTTTCACACATAATTACGGAGTTATTTGGAAAAATGTGAAGACCATACGTTTAATACTTCATTTTCGAAATGTTTATCAATTGTCTCAAACTTTATTGTTCCTTCATTGCCATAACAATCACTCTCCATCCCCGTTTTCTTCCATTCGATCTTCTTAACCTTCTGCTGTCAGGCATTCTATTTCTAAGTGGTGTTACATACTACGTATGTCAACATAAGTAGCACACCACAATATCAGTCAATCTGTCAGTCATAACAGATTGGGATTACGTACCCGTTTACAAAGACAAGAATTTAAAACTTTAGTATTAAAAAATTTCTCGGATGGATGTGTATTAGAAATACTGATATTTCTTTGACAAAACCACACTTAGGATTATTAGATTTCAAACAATAAACGAACTCGAATCGGCTAAGTTTTTTAGTTCGGGAACTAGAATTATTAATTATTATTATTATTGTTATTAATGGCTTTATTCAATATCATACTTTGATACGATATAGAATTCTCAGCACAGGGTATTTCAACAAGTTACTTACGCAAAAAAAGTAACAGAGACAAAAAAGGAAAAAAAAGGTTTAAAAAAACGAAAAACTACAACTTTTCAAATTACAGACATGTTAAGAATGCAGATTATTGACTAGGTTAACTCTAACAACCTGTTCGTCACAGAGTATATTTGCTAGGTAAGGTATTATAGAACTTTTATACTTTTGCTTGCGTACATGGATTTTAATGTAATTACGTCTCGTTCTACCAGAAGATATACAAGGAGAAAGATAAGAGTGAAGGGGATGGTTAGTATCTGATAAAATAACACCTGCCAGGAGTTTGAATGACTTTAGATGTCTATCCACAACCATATTAATTATGACCTCGAACGATTCACCACACATCTTGCTAACTACCTTCAGCACTCTTCTCAAAAGCCCGGGAAAGAATAATAGAGAACAATAAAGAATAATAGGTAATATGCAAGAACTGACAAATTGTAAGAGTAAATGACGAGCAATCCCAAGAGCATGCAATCTCTTTATGTAGTAAGTCAGACGGAAAACCTTCTTCGATAACAGTAAAACGTGGGAAGACCAAGAGAGATTAAAGGAAAAGGTGACACCAAGATAATTGACCTTCGACACTGAGTTTATCAAAGTCTCCGATGGTACAAGCATTATGGGATCTCAAAATAGTGTTTAGATCCCGTTCGTGTCTCATGCTAAAGTTAACAGCTTGACATTTAGACGGATTAAGTATGAGACCATTACCAACAGACCAACAATCAATACGAGACAAAAACTCATTCATTTCTATGGGACGTAAAGAGGAAGAGATAGGCATACATACAGTAAGATCATCCGCATATTTCAAAAGTGTTTTCTGTAGAAGATGGCAGATCATGCAGAAAAAAAGAGAAAAGAAGAGATGAAAGAACAGCTCCTTGTGGTACACCTTCATGAGACAGCAGAAACTCTGAACACTTTCCTCCAAACACAGTGTACTGTGTAGGTAGGAACATAGCCAGTTGGTTATCCAGCTGTCAGTGTTGACGCTGATTAACTTGTTAATTAAACGTTGTCTTGGTATAGAATCAAAAGCTGAAGTATAGTCCAGAAAAGCGCATCGAACATACTTCTTACCCTTTTCCAAGCTGAACACTATATTGTGATGCAGAACAGCAATAGCATCTAAGGTGCTTCTTTTGCATCTGTAAGCAAACTGATACGGATCAATATGCTCTTTTATCGCAGGCTGAAGTGGAAGTATTAATAGTTTTTCCATTGTTTTGAGGAAGGGTGAAGTTATTGCAATAGGTCTAAATTTCACATTCTTATCACCAGATACTTTCTTGGGTACAGAGATTATCTCCATCTTTCTCTACATTTTCAGAATGAGATTAGATGAGAAGGAACTGTTAAAGATAGTCGTGAATAGACAACATAGAACGTCAGCACATTTTTTTAAAAAGAGGTTTGGGATACCATCAGGTCCTAAATATCTGGATGAATTAACTGACTGGAGACATCCTCGAACATCAGTTTCAGTGAAACTAGGAACACAGCTATTATTTAAACCTATGGATGAAGGAAGCATCACATCAGATGACTGACGTAAAGACTTATTTAAGTCACAAACATTCAGCTGGTTATCGCTTCTAAATTGTCTGTCACCTGTAAGTTCTTTAAAGAGTTTCCACATACTTGGGGAGTTTTTGCAAGACAAGAGTTTTTGAGTAAACATAAAGTTGAGACGTCTAATCTCTAGGTTTATCCGACCATTTAGCTTACGAACTTCATTAGAGTTCTTCTCCTTGTACATTCTTTCTTTCATCCTTCGTAGTCGTTTTAGTTGTGTAGATGTAAGTCGATCAAAACTTATAAAAATGGTTTCAGTGGGACAACAAATATCAGAACAGAATTTAAGGTAACAAGTGACAACATCAGTAGTGTTTTCCAGTGAGTCATCTGTAAATAATTCCCAGTTAGTCGTATGAAACATGTTTTTCAGATTTCGGATATTTTCTTCTGAGTAATTCCTATATTTGACTTTCTTGGTTTGATGTAAGAGTGTACTCTTCCCATGCTTTCCATATACTTTAGGTAGAACACGAATTATACAGTGATCCGAGCTAGACAATGGGGCACGTTTACGAGTCGCATATATACCCACATCATTAATGAAAACGAAGTCTAAATGAGCATCCAAACGAGTAGGAAAATCTACTACGTTTTGGTGACCTAGTGACGTAAGGAAGCTACAATCATATGAATTGAAATCACCACATACAACTGAAAGTGAATCACTGAAGGTAGTAACAGCGAACTCAGTGAACTCATCAGCAAAAACAGATAGTGCAGATGATGCGCAATCAGGAGTCACGTAGATATTGGTAACATAAACATATTTGTATTTATTCAGATGTTTTGGACGACATCTTAGATTTAGACAGTCGATAAAGTCATTTGAAAACTTCAAACACACAAACGAAGATTGACACCAGTTTATATTTACAAACGTAGCTACACCGCCACCACACCTCTTTTTATTGTTTGATCGATCCTGACGATAAATTTTGAAATCACGTAGTGACACTAGGCAGTCGTCCTGTAAATCATTTAACCAAGATTGTTGATTTTTATGACACCACAATTACGATACATATTTTGACTTAGTAGGAATTGTAGATAGTCCACTTTGTTGATTAGTGATCGGCAGTTAGAATTTAGCAGCTCGGGAATCGACATATGATTAATATTCATTCTCTTTAACGCATATTGCCAACCACCACGATGTCTTTTATAGTAATTTTTGTAACTTGTGCAGCGAAAGGTCGTAGGCTTTTTATAAAAGCGCCTGAATAGGTTATGCGATTAATGGACATAATGAGACGTTAAAAAAAATGAAAGAACAGATAACCTGTTGAAATAATTAGATGGCAGAAGCAGGTAACCCAGATATTCAAGCAGGCCGCCGCTTTTTGTTTGGGTTGCATTTTATTTATTTATTTGTGCATACATATTGGTACAAGGGGGTATTAGATATATATGAGCTTTTAATTTACAAACACTGTTTAATCTTGAGTTTTGAATGATGAAAATCGAAACATAGAACTAGATATTATTACAAGAGTAAACACATATACACACTAAACGAAGGTATGAAGACTGTCATGGAGTTTACACTGATAAATATAACACAAGGTATACAGAATGACCTATAAAATAATCGAAAATGAGAATTTAGATCATATTTTTAGCATTGTGGCAAATAATGATAATTTTAATTGTTTTGTTACACGATTTCAGTTTTTACAACCAACTCTAATATTAATAGTATTATGACTTAAGCAAATGATAAGAAAAAATGGTTTACCTTTGGTAACATATCTGCCATAAATTTTTGCCCACCAAAACCGGGTTCGACAGTCATAATTAAAATCATATCAACGGAGTCAACATAAGGTAATACTTCAGTGACTGGTGTTTTTGGTTTTATACCAAGACCAACCTGGAAGATAACAAAAATCTCGTGTTACAAAACAAAAAGCAATGAAATGACGACAAGCTAAAAAAAATCCTGTATACTGTACATAATTGTACTAAATGTATAGAATTCTGTGTTTGGATGATTAGCCCGAAGCTATGTTTGAATCATATTTCTGTGTTGAGTCTCAACAACAAAATTTATACGGAAATTCTATGAGTGAGATTTGAGCTCCGGTTATTCAGCGCCGCTATGAAAAACTGACAGCGACCTACATTTAGATGTCACCGCAGTTGTGATAACGTACTGATTTCATTAGAAATGATGGAGGGAAACTATGAATGAAACATGAACAAAAACTAGTCATTTGATTTCGTAGATTGTACTTAGGCTAACTTTGTTTGGGTAACGGTGGTAATAAAAGCCAAATACGAACTCAGTCAGTCAGTCAGCTACAACGTAGGACCAGGCACATATGTGCATCGGTCCAGGTTGCCATACCTCATTAGCACAGCAAGATGAACACCGGATTCATAAAAGTAGTTAATTCAGAGGTGGTAATAGATAGGAGAAGGATTGCAATAAGGATATAGTATAGGAAGAAAGAATTAGTTCGTAGAAAGAAAGATATGAAGTGATTTTAATCTCTTAGTTTAAGGGAAGACAGGGAGTGTATACACCGACGCCATTGTGATCGATTCTGAGCCATGTCACCAAGAGTCTCCAACCATTGGTTACGATAGTCACGCGGACCCCAACCAAGTAGTCTGCATCTACCAACATGGCTCAGACTAGAAGTTAGTGACTTCAAGAAATGATGCCACGTTTTGGTTTGGCCGCTCCTAACTTTCTTCCAACCATCCCCTACACCGGTTAGCATTGCACGTCGTGGTAATCGGTGTTCGGGCATGCGTAACACGTGGGCCAACCATCTCAGTCGATGAAGATTCATAACCTCATCAACTGATTTACCATCATTCCCTAATACCCTGCGTCTAACCTCACTATTACTTACCCGGTGATCCCAGCAGACGCCAGCAATATTTCTAAGGCATCTGTGGTCAAATACTAGTAGCTTACGGGTGTCTTCTACTCCTAATCGCCATGTTTCGCTGCCGTAAATTAAAACAGAACTAACTGCGGCGCAGTATACTCGTCTTTTTATTGATAGACGGATATCTCGCCATCACCATATGTGACGTAAGTTGGCAAAAACCGAACGAGCTTTTCGAATCCGTGCTGAGATTTCGTCAGACACCAACCCATTAGGGCTGGTCAGACTTCCAAGATAAGTGAAGTTGTCAACGCGTTCGACTACTTCACTCCCTATCCTTAGTTCAGGTGTTGACGCAGACCAGTCCTGAAGCAGCAGCTTGCATTTAGCGAGAGAGAAGCGCATTCCAAACATTCTGGCATTGTTGCTTAGTGCTACCAGAAGGCTCTGCATTTTGTCAGCGTCTTGACCAAACAGGACTATGTCATCTGAGTATTGTAAGTCGATAAGTGGACCTCCTGGAAGGAGATCAATACCCGAGAATTCAGTCGACGAGAGTGTTATTTCCATCAATAGGTCTATGATGAAGTTAAACAAAAATGGAGAAAGTGGACATCCTTGACGGACACCACTTGAGGTTGCAAAAGCAGATGGCAGTTCGCCATAAGCCCTGACTCGACTAGTAGTGTTCGAGTAAAGAACATTCACAAGGTTTATGTACTTCTGAGGTACGCCTTTCAATGACAGACACTGCCACAGAGTCTCGCGGTCTACAGAGTCAAATGCTGCTTTCAAGTCAAGAAAGACCACCATCGTCAGACGCCGATAAGTATGCCTGTGTTCTAGGACCTGACGAATGGTGAATATGTGGTCGATGCAGCCACGACCAGGTCTAAAGCCAGCTTGGTTCTCTCGAGTTTGTAGTTCACGAGTCTTAGTTAGGCGTCCGATAATTATCGAGGCTAGTATTTTAGATACTATGTTAGTCAAACTAATCCCTCTGTGGTTGTCACAGGATGATTTTGACCCTTTCTTATATATTGGGACGGTAAGTGATTGCGACCAGTCAGATGGGATAAAGTCTAATTCCCAGATCTTAGCTAAAATATTAGTCAACCTAGTCGCTAAAATTGGACCACCATCCTTAAAGACCTCTGGAACCAATCCATCTGGACCAGCTGCCCTTCCTCGTTTCAGATTAACTATAGCCTTTTGGAATTCTGCTAGAGTTGGGGGACCTACTTCAATGTTCCATTCCCACTGTCTGGGAATGGAGGGTAATTGTAGAGTAGCTGAAGGCCAGCTGAACTGTTCTCTAAAATGTTCCGCCCATCGTTCTAAACGTCTGGACTGGGAGCAGATGAGAGTATCATCTTTTTCCGAAATAATCTCACTTACACTTGACTTATTAATTCCAGTTTCTTTTATTAGTCTGTAAAGCTGTCTTGTGTTCCCTATAGTCGCCGCCTTTTCCATCTCTTTTGCTTTCGTTACCCACCACTGCTCACAGTCGTTCCTTAGACTTTTTCTTAACCTAGATCTGATTTCTTTACGCTCTTCATCATGTTCAGAACCTGATGGGACGAGTTTGCGAGAATCCATCAGTGTGACAGACCTTGAAGAAATCCACTGGTTCCTTGAAACTCTGTGGTTTAAGTCACTAATAGATGTCACTGCTGTTTCCACAGCTAATTGTATGCCCTTCCAAGCAACATCTGGGTCAGCCTCGTCTTCACAACTACCTAAGTGTGACCTCAGTTGTTCCTGGAACCTACTTTTGGTTTTCTCGTTACTCAATTCAGTTCTAACGAGTCTTTTTAATGTGGCTTTTTTGCGTCCAGTGAGGCGCAAGCAGATGCGCGCCCGTATTAGGGCATGGTCGGAGTCCAAGTAGGTACTCCAGAATGAGCGACAATCTTGTACCGACCCTCTCCAACGATGACTGATGGCAATATGGTCTATTTGAGTCCATCGTTGGTTTGGTGTAGGGGGTCGCCATGTCAGACGATGTCTCTCCTTATGCTTAAAATTTGTTTGCTAAAAATAAACGATTGTCTGAGCACAGTTGCAGCAGACGATCACCATTATCTGTTCGTTGTGTCGGAATAATAAAATATCCACCTAAGTGCCTTTCTGTTTGGTTTAAACTGCCTATCTGAGCATTAAAATCACCTGCTACGAGTACTATGTCTGAGCGTTTAGCTTTCTGAAGAAGTTCGGACAGCTTTCTGTAAAATTCATCTTTCACTGCATCTGAGCTGCAGTCAGTGGGAGCGTAGGCAGAAACGACAAAAAGGCAACGACCTGTGTCCCTATCTTTCCGAGTTCTTACGGAGCCGTTTAGCCGAACAGCACATAAACGACTGTTAACGGGGATCCACTCTAACAGTGCTTGTTCGGCCCTCATGCTTAGTGCTATGCCTACACCTGCCAGTCCACGAGAACTGGCCATCGGGTCACCAGATACACGAAGGGTGTATCTCGTTGGCTCTCCGTTTTGCCGAGGTGAGGTCAAGTGAATAACCACACTGGAATCCTGTATGCGTGTTTCGGAGACACAGCACACGTCAATCGTAAGAGACTCTAGGGTTTTAGCCAAGGAAGCCTGCTGACCGATTTGACATAGGGTGCGTACGTTGAAGGCTTCAATGTGTAGTTTGGAGCGAGGTTTCAGTAGACCTGGGACAGTGTTTTGAGCACTAGAATCGTTGGCTATGGTGACACTTGAGGGGGAAGCCGAAAAAGGAAGTTTAGCGTTGGAAGTCGATATAGGAGGAATAATAGGAATTGAAGTGGGAGGTTGATTACGAATAAAGTGGTCTTGAGTGCTGTTAGAAGTATGAGGGCGGTTATCACTTCCCGGTTGCCCACACCGTGGAAGGGTTGTTCTGGAGGTACCTGAAAAGGAAATTGGGTTAAAGGTGGTCTTAGTGACCTGAGAGCGTGACCGCAGTGCCCAAGGAACAACTGTTTGAGGTCGGTCACACACGACCTTGTTATGGGTAATTTTTGTGTTACCTCCGTACTTATTGAGACCTTACCGCCGGAGACGGATATCCGTGGGATAAGGCGAGGTGTGCATTTTTAGGGTCGACCTTTTCTAACCCCACCCCTCCTTGTGGAAAGATGTCATCGCTGTCATACTGGTTGTCTGGAGGAAACACCTTACTGCCAGCAGTCAGCAGTACAACTTCTCCTTCGGACCTCGGGTTTGTTGCTTTTAGTCTTACCGCTCTTCAACCGACCTGTCTGACATGGTAGGACCTTGAGGAACGGTTGTTCCAGCCAGTATAGCTCGGTTGCTTCATCACGATAGGCAAGCCCGACCACCACGTCAAGGTAGCAACAACGGTCGGGATGAATTTCTTTCATATACTCGATCACTCAGACAGACAATAGGATGAGAAACGGAAAAGGCAGATGTACCTACTCAAAATATTACTTATTGTAAGCATCAATACCTCAAAATAGATCATGCTTATTACAACGAGACAGATATCGGATAAAATAATGAGTGTCCAAGCACACACAACTACGTATGAGATATGTAAGTGTAGTATTGTAATGACATGAATATGAGATATATATATATACTAGAGGTCACAATTCCCTATGAAAAAAAGAGTTGTTAGGATGATGAAATTAATTCAAGTATATCCAAAAGCTAGAAGGACACATGTGTAATGGCATTACGTGCTACAGAGTACAACCTACTAACCTAAACACATTTGGATGTCTCGATACTTATTATTTTAATAGACCATTCAGTCATTTAGAATGAACTAGAAATATAGTGTAAAACGCAAATATTGCAAGATGAAAGATAATGTTAAATTGACCTGATAAGAAAACGAAAGAAACAATATTCTATGCAGTGTGCTGTGTAATATTTCCAATATACCACTTAATACTAGTCAAGTATGAAAAGAGTGTTAATGGATAATAAAATCTAAAAAGAAACTTGACTATATAAAAGTAATTGTTGTTTATGACTAGTTTTTAGTCTAATAACCGTAGACTAGATCCCTTCGATACTTAAAATAGTCATATTGAAGTTGTTTGATAAACTTCTTCACTATAATGAGCTTTTGTATATGACAGCACACCATAAATAAGAATGATGACATTAACATTAAAATATAAAATCGCTAACATAAATAGGGTTTTTGTTGATACTCACTTTCATGTCAGCTTCACGTATTTTGTGAATACAATGCATAGCATTTCCAGTTGATTCTAAGTGAAAAGTGTATTGGCTTGCTCCAGCAGCTTTCATATTTTCAACCCACTTTCAAATGTTAAAGTACAGTAGGGAAGAAGTATGCGTATGAAACTGATGCATTAGAAATATAAATTGGATATGCTCAATTATAAAACTCAACACTACAATCAGAACAATTTAGGTGAAGTTTGATAATAATTGTTTTGTGTGAGACTGTGGCAATCTTCTTAGGGGTGATATCAACTGACCCATATTGGTAGATGCAAACTGCCTGGCTGGATAGAGGTGATAATCATGTCCAGTGGTTAGAGGCGCTGCGACAACTCAAAATTGGTGGCCCGGACGCTTTAAATTTTTGCTTATCTCTAGATAATGGGTTTAAAAAATATTTTATACATACTTTGAATAGATTCATTCTTTCTCCTCGAACCATATTCACTGTTCCTAGTTGTTTTTTCTATCACTGATATTGCTACTTCCACTTTGGTGTTCAGCAAGATAAATTAATCTTGTGTTGACTCCTTGTTGCTCTAAGGATGCGGATGCTAATAAAGTACCGATTCTACTTAGCTTCGTATATCTTGTATCGACCGACCACATTAATACAACGTAGAAAAAGTAGAATACTAAATATGTTTTCCGATATTTATATTTCATACATACATGTGAAGATCATGCGAACTTTAATAGAGCAGCGAACATGGAAGTCGGTATTCTAGATAAAAATCAATGAGTAATGGATGACTTAATCTGTATATAAGGTAATAATGTATAAACTACAGAACCAATTAAAGTATACGCACGTGGGTTAAGCACACACATGCATAAAACCCTTAACGTTACAAATGATTATTTGATAGGGATAAATACGTGAGTGCAAAGAATAAACTCACGTAGGGGTCGTAAAGAGTCTAGAAAAGCAACCATATCCTTAAGTTGGACTGAAACAAACTTGTGCCAGTTTTTTACGTGGCTTATGTCGAACAGACTATTGGTAATTAAATTCATCTACTATGAACACATTTATGCACTTATCTCCGTACCATATTGTTTATGCGAGTATCAGTCATACTACCCAGTTGACTAAATGGTTGACGGTGTAGTACTATTACCAAGTATGAGAATTGAAAGTAGGTGAAGTGTTGCTCGAACATATGGTCCACTGGGCGAAAACCGAGTGCTTCAGTAAAGCAAAATGGTGACAATTTTGTATAAAAATTTTTACTTGTGTAGCAATAATTGAGAAGTTTGTATTTTCTTACGCGTAAAATGTTTATTATTCATCCTATAACTCATATTAACAGTAAATATATTTATAAGGAAGATACTAAGATAGGATCTATACCAAAACCGCATTACATTGATTTAAAATCAATACCAGTAACTTAAACCGCATAAGATTTTGTACACTGAGACTGGTAAGGATAAGCTTTTTTGAAACTATTGACTCTGAAGCAGTTATTTACTACAACTTGATAATTTTCTGAAATTTGTTCATCTTAGGTCATTTTGGGCTAATCAAAATCGTTAACTGAAATAAAACAGGATACTTGGAAACACTGAAAAATTATTTCGCACCACTTTATTAGTCAGTAAACAATACCCACTTTTTTGATGTTAACTCTTTAGACTAACATAGCTTGCAAAATCGCTGAAAAGAATAATAATCTGACTTAATTCAAACAAATGCTAATTTTTGATATGATTAGCAATTACTTTTTCGAAGGCAGGAATGACTGAAACTATTAAAAAAATCTCGATCGTTGGAATATAATCCGTTGATTGTAGCACGTTTGTTATGCGACTTTTAAATTAGTTAATTAATTTTGTAAAGGATTTCGAGCAAAATATTGGAGCTGATAATCTAAAATCGATTGGATTTTAGTGGTTTGTCGGCTAGTTTTAGGTTACAATGTAAGGAAATCAAATTACATAAATGTTTTTTAAAGATTCTTCGAATGATAATTTATTCTGTAGAAAATCTATAGCAATACATCACAGCGAACTACCTTTTCGGGATTAGAAACCATCATGTGAAGATCTAAAAACGCCTTGGATGGAAGGTGTTTTTTCAAAGACGCTACAACAGGATGCCCAAATGTGATATTGGGTACGAAATGTCCATCCATGACATCGAGGTGTAGGTAATCAGCGCCAGAGTTAAGTAGATGATCACAAACAACAGCTAGTTTGGACAAATCCGCATTCAAAATTGATGGTCCAATAAGTATAGGTTTAGAACAAATGTGAGTCATTTTAACTGAAAACAAGAGAATATATTGCAAAAGCATCTATAAAAAGCACAATAACTTCGAAAGTAAGCTAGTAAAGAAAATGTGGGTTTAGCCTAATTGTAGTTAAGTTACTGATAAAATAATTTTTTTATGAAACTTATTGATATTAGTAACTAGTTCCAGATCCCGTTACTACGCAAGTGTAGACACTAATGCATACTAAGAAAGGGAGTTTAAAACATGTTTACTGAGTTTTTTTTTAGAAATGTTTGGAAATCTTTACATATGACAGTGATGCGCACAAAGAACTTTAGGCAATTCAACTCCCTAGAGACTGGAAAGATGCTATAGTCAGTCCTATATTTAGAGATGGTCAGAGACATCGTATCTAACTACCGACCTGTCAGTCTAACCAGCATAGTCGTTAAGTTACTAAGTCACATAGAATCATACGGTCTTTTAACTTCCTAGCCACACGAGTTTCCAAACAAGCGTTCATGATTGACCAACTTACTTATTGCGAGAGAGGATTGTACAGCAGCCCTAGATGACGGTTTGCCTGTCGATGTGATATTCATAGAATTTAACAAGGTTTTACACCTAGGTTTTATGCAGAAGTTTTCGAGCTTCAGAATAACAAATGCTGCACAGGAATGGATAGGATACTTCCTATGTGGCCGCAGACAGACAGTGGGGGTTTATGGGACGCTAAGCGAATAGAAACCGATCAAATGTGGTGTACCCCAAAATTCGATCGTACGTCCCCTACTTTTCCTCCCCTACGTCAATGAATTACCGTATTGCTTAAGTCGTCGACATTATTGTTTGCGGATGATACCGAAGTCTGGAGAAAATAAGTAGTGATCTTCAAGCTGACTTAGACGAACCAGTTAGATGGGCCCAATATTGGGGATTAAAAGTTAAGTCTAGAGTGGGCCCCTGAACATCGGACACGGTAAAAGTTACCAGTATACTACCGACGTTACATCTCTTCCATGTGTACAGGAACATTAAGACTTAGGGGTAATAGCAAGTCATGACTTGAAAACTGCGACGATTGACTTCAATTCGTCTACTAACAATAATAGACGAATTACTGGGAGTGTTAACGCTCTCAGTTTACTGAATTTATTTCTCAGACTACAATCATTTGCATAAAAATCTTCTAGAGAGAACGACCTATCCATACAAGCCTTGATAGCATCCACTTCCAAAACCTGACTATTTGAAATTTTCTCTGCAACGCTGCCGAAGAATTTCTAGTTTAGTTAGTGCCACTTTCCTTTCAATTCTATTTTAGGGAGGCACATCAGGTTTTACTCGAATGTCAGTATTATCGTGACTTTGAGCGCTATTTAACGGACCTCATTGTTTCTTCGACCCTATGATTGTCTTAAGGAGTCTATATGGTCAGATTTTAACACTCTTGTCGGTCCTCTTACCTATTCTTGTCAATATTTTCACCTGAACTCTTTCCAAGTTATCTAGTAAGATGCTACGAATGAATGTTCCGACCTTTTTAAACCCTGAGCGTGTCTAATTTTTGGGTCAGGGTCGTATGATTCAAGCACAATACTCATAGTAATGTTCAGTGTGATTAGGCTTATTCCAACCACGCTATAAGAGATTTCGGTCTTACTTTTAAACTTTGTCAGTGCATTTTGCGACGCGAAGCAGGATTTTATCAGACATTTACCATTCAAGCGGTTACTGCTAGTGGAGTTTTCTCTTCATTGTGTACGCACGGTCACCCATTTAACGTCACTCAGAACAACCACATCGGTGGAAGCTTTACCCTAGTCCTCCTTTTATGCTTGAGAGTCATGATCATCTGCATAAAGTGATATTTCACCCTTCGGTAGTATCAAAGGATATTTTACGTTACCAAGATTCACAGTCGGGTGTTTGGCACGTATCGTAACAACACGTACTACACTGGTACATATTTCGCAGTCAGCACTCATGCTACGAAAGCAGCCACCATCAATCTTCTTGGGTTCCAATGGGAGGAGGCCCACAGAAGAAACCACGCTGGCACCAAAACTGTACCTTAGAGCACTCCGCCAAACACAGTTTCCCAGCTAGACAACTCCATGTTCACCCACACATTTTGTTGACGCCCAACACGGAAGTCTTTTATCCACTTCAATAGATTGCCTCCCATCACGATATTAACTTATTTAACAGCCGGTTTTGAGGAACTTTGTGAAAAGCCTTACAACATTTACAGGTAACTTTAGATCCATAAGAGCGCACCAATTTTCGCGGGCCACTAATAAGTCAGTGAGAAATGAGTAGTCTGTTCTAAAGCCATGATACTGTTCAGAAAGAATCCGGTTCTCGTCTAGATACGTGAGCAAATCCTTCTGAAATTTCAGCAACGACGCTGGTTAAGCCAACGGACGATAGTCCTCAGGTTTGTGTCTCATACCTGTTTCGACTTATTGTGGCATTCCTTATGTCCTTTGAAAATCTATCCTAGCTGTATGTGCTCAAGGGATTAGCGATGAAATCTACTACATACTTTAGCAATCTAGAATGCGTTTCATTAGGTTTTATAGATTTTCTTATATCAAGCTCGTTTAGCAGACCAAAAGCACCTAGTTCTTTAATTATCACGGTGTTCAGTGTGCTTATGGGAAGGCATCTATACGATGCACACTTAGCTAAAGTAATTTGAGAACACGTGAACTATACCATAACCATTCCTTAATGATTATGCACTACCATTTTTCAACAATTATCTGATCTATCTCATCTTAGTCCTTTGGTTAATGTGCGTTTTCCATGCACTCCTCAAAGCGGTTTTCCTCATGCAATCTTCTTGGCTTGCGGAGCTTTGAGATACTAGTATTTCGGGCTCGCCGATAATGGGATTCTACTTCATCAATTCTAAGTAACCTAAATCTCCTCAACGTACATTTTTGTTAGGGAAAATGGAACGAACCTGCTTACTGAACAAGTATGAGGAGTTTTTCGACCTCCTTGGTGTAGTTTGAGGAATGTGCAGTGCAGTAGCTCTTATGAAAAAATTCTGAATACCTCCCAAGAACTTTTGACAGCGTATTCTGGTTATATTGTTCGACTTACTGAGAATGCTGTGTATAACTCCTTACATATTTATCTCTCAGACATTTGGTCTACCTTTGGCCGACACACCGTTGTTGACGACGATTTCGAAATCAAAGACTAGAGCCTAATGGGCAGTCTTACTTGTGAAAGACATATAATCGAAGTCCATGACATCATCTTTATAATGGATCAATATGAGACCTAGTAGGGATGATTCGGATTCCGATATGTACATAGTTGCTTCTTTCATATGTTGCACCAGAGCAAGCTTTTGCCATCAAGAAATTTTGAACGACTCAGTCCTCAAATTTTTCCTGTATACTAGAAATCCGTTAACGTTTCTAACGATCAACCATCAACCACTTGAAGATCCAGTGTTGTAGCGATCCAGCAAGACCCCATTCACCTTATAGTTTGACTGAGGTTGACCGAGCAGAATAACAAGTCTTGTTCCTTGAATTTCTGGGTATAGACAAGCAATTCGCACATCTCACTTTCACAGGATATGTTATTGATAACGGTAAAGGATGTAATGTTTTTCATGATTAGAGCCGATCCTCCTTATTCATGCCCATTCTCCAGTCGAAAGTCCACTTAATCGGAATGTTTAAACACCACCTTTAGCAACCTGATTTGGTTTTGTTTCAAGTGCAACCGGCTACCCAGTTTGTGAAACTTCAAAAAGATGACTTTAGAGACATCTTGAGGCATTAGCTGGTTAAGTAGATCATTTATCAACCATCTGTCATACTCAGATTGATTTCAGGACCCTAAGATTTCACTCCCACTGACTCCATAAACATGATCAGCCCCAGATTTCTTAATTACTATTCGGGAGACTTACTTTTTCCTAAAGACATAATGTCGTCTCCTATTTATTTGTTTGTGCCCATTCATCAACTTTCACTGAAGTTGCAACCACAGTCGCGCTACACACACTGCAAGGTTTTCGATGATAGTCGATGAATTGAACAGCGAAGTCGCTGCTTTTCCGGTTATAATTAGACTTGACCTTATGAATAGGCTTCTAGGTGCTTCCTGCCTTCTGCTGTTTGAAGGGTGGAGGACAGAACGGTCCCCTTTTGTTGCGTTTTCATTTCTAACAGACCCCTTTTACGTTGGCTCTTCACTCTATGGTGCATATAAATTGATAAATTCTGAGCTTATTCAGGGTGGCTTCGCATCGATCTGTGTATCAACAGGGCGAGAATTGCTCGATCCTTTTCGATTACGTTTGCTAACACTATTTTTAGCAACGGGAAGATGTTTGCGTCCCAACAGCATTTCTGACACAACCGAACGTGTTCAACTTTACCAAACGTCTTGAAAGCCACAGGCATGAGGTTCGTGTCAACGTCGTGATACCATCATTTGCATTCGTTGCACTGCATACCACTTTCCATGGGTATAAACAGTTTAATGGCCCATTGATCTGGCTGCTGATTAAAAGAACAGATAAAAATGCCATGAACATAAATCTGCAATTTAACTCCGCACATCACCCAGGCAAACCTCGTTTGTGAGATAGAGACAGTGAGAAGTCGAACACAGGTTAGGTTGAATAAATTTGTTTCAGGCACTCGCTTATACAGACGGACATTCAGAATGTAAGGCGAGAGGACTGGGCGAGTGAGTCAGACCGATTTGATGAAGTGTGATTCAGTACTTATAGTCAGACAAAAATAGGCTAAAGACGTATAACGAATAGGGTAAGCAATAAATACACATACGGTCGTGTGAAAATAATCAAGGTTGATAAGCGAACAATTGATAAAGACAAAATATGACTCAGGCTGAATGAGTAAATCGTTCTTCACGGTAGCTAGAACAACCCATGTGGGCCTGACATAGTACCAGATGCTAAAATAGCTAGGGTGTTGGATATTGTTTTGGTGCACTGTCCAGCCGTCAATCAGAAGTTTTCAAATAAACAACACACGAAAGCACGAGGAGAAAAAGTGATAACCGTGAATAAGTGAAACCGTGAACTGCTAAATGCAAAAGCGCGGCAAAAGAAAACTAATGTATTCAACAGAAGTTCAGGTGCAAAACTAGCTGAAAGAAATGATACTTTTGGCACTACTTTTACCGAAATCATTTTAGCTAAATTGAAAACAGTGACCTTGATGTGCAATAAACGACCAGAACCCAGCGATGAAAAATACCACTGCCCTTTTATATAGCACGAGCGAATTTTATCATAACAACAGTCTGAAGGTACTTCCATAAGCAATAAACTCATAACGATTTGGAACTGAACTTGATTTCAGCCACTATGTCTCACAGCCTCCGTTCTTCAAGTAGATAAAGTGATGCTAACGTAATGAAGCACGATGTAGAACGAATTATTGGTGATATTACGCTATCGCGACGACTCCTTAGTTGGGATAATTTCGAGACTTGCATAAAAGAAGTGTGTAAGGTGAAAGGACTTCTGTGATCAGGAATTTTTCGTACGGCATGTACACACCAAGTACGTCATACCGGTATGTAAAAAGAAGGAAGATTACCCAAGTCTAAAATGCCTTTAATTTAGCTGTGTTTGTAAACATGTGTGTAATTACAGTGCATAAGGATTGAATTCTTGACTTCAGAACATACACGGTGATAGTGATCAATATTTTTCCGAAGACCATACACTCAGTTCACTATCACGACCTAAACACAAAAGGTGACGCCACTCATCAACATATTCTTCGTTTCAAACAAATTTACGATCTAGGTCTGAATATTGCGACTGCCGGACGGGATTTCGGGTCCATGAAGTAAATGGTTGGCTAAACGTTATTTCAATTAAAACCTTTCGTAACAATCCTTGCATATAATAATAAAATTTTGTCGATCCTTCGGGACGGCAACTGAACAATTGCATTTCAGACTATTGTTTTGGAGTAATACACTAACTCATAGCATTCGACATCTGATGTTTTGGAAGTTCCACCGGCGGCTTACAAGGAACAATGTTACTAGAATGGGTCTACAGTTTTATCCAGGTTGTTAAACTTAAACACTAATTTATTTATTCTAGACATAACATACCGACGGTATTTTGCAAGGTACTCAGTCAAGCATAGAAAATGAGATTATATTTATGATTTGCTCCGATCATCGAGAACAAATGATTGTCTACCATAAGTTTTCAGAGGTGATATTATTTAATCGCTTATCACACCAGCAAGACTGAGTAGTCAGCAAACAATAACGACTTTATTTCAAAGCTCTCCACTATTCCAGCTAGTAGAAACTGATGTCACAGAGAAAGGGAACATCGTTATGTATGCTATGATATGTATAAATTATTTGCTGCAGTTTCGACGTACCGATATTCAGAAATGTTTGGGACCTCCTGTAATAATAAAAAGGTCGAATATGAAAGCTTTACTTTTCATAATCCATTGTGTTTGGATTTACTCATAACTACAAGAACCTGGAAGCACATTTCCTACGGGTCCACGTATACATAATAGGTCACTGGATAGACTGTAAGTCAATATGGGCTCCTTGTTATTACAAACACGTACCAATCCTGGGCAACAACATCAATAATCGTGTAAAATTTGCTTATATACGCTTGAAACTACATCCCAGAAGAAATGATCCACATATATTGACTTTCTGAAAGGTTTTCAGCAAAACAGACGCTGCCCAATGACTGCAACTATAGGACGCATTAAACAGTCTTCTACGTTTCTTAAAGCTTGAGGTCAGAAACGTAGTGCAACGTACCATCAATACCAGACTCGAAACTGCCTTCGTGGTTAACGTTTTACCTGTTAATTACAAAAGACTTGGGGGAATGATAAATGAAGAAAAGGCAGATAGTTACACAGGTTGACACGAAAGCGACAGGATGTGATAGGTTGACACACCGAGTTCACGGTTTCTTTGTGAGCGTTTCATTTAGTAAATTTGCAGAATAGTTCAGAATGTGTCTAGGAACTAATATAAATTTAACCCAAATGATGTGATCAATCTCGCTGTTACAGCGGAGAAGCACTACTACTACGCGGAGTGGTGATGAGAACTACGCCTCATAGACGTGTGAAATTGTTACCACATGAAGAGTAGCTACAATCACTGTAGTCGGGAAATTTGAACATTAAAAATCAATGACCACACAGAATATTTACGGATGTAAGTCTGAGATGGGTTTGCTCTCCCATTAAGAATATATTTAATAATAGTCCATAGTCACTTCCTAGTAGTAACCTTCCAACTACACCCGTAGCATTTCTAAGGTTACTGCCAGTTCCATACCCGGGTAAACGAGGGGGGTCGGGCGTGGGTTTAGTACCCACCGATGATAACAACGACGGCAATAAAGGTCAGTTCTACGAGAGGCTGCAATCAATCATAGAGACGTGCCCAAGAAATGATCTCATCATCCTGATAGGAGACCTAAACACCAATGTTGTGGTAGACAACACCTGGTATGAACACATCATGGCACTGCATGGACTTGTAGTGGCATTGGACAATAGCCACACAATCTACAAAGCTGTGAACACCAGACTACTCAGAAAATAGATATTCAATATTTAACTCGGGGAAATACCTAACAATGGAGAAGGCGCGGAGAATGATTTGAATGGACTGGAGTTGATCGAGTGGCATGGCTCGTCCATGCAGGCGTGGTCCATCTCAGTGTTACTTTATATCTTCTATTCATATTAAATATATTGTTCTTTCTCTAGCCTAACCTTGTTCCTCATCATGTATTGGTAATTGATACGATACAGTGAGTTGGTGTAGTGGATGGTGTGACTTCCACGTAAGATCTTATAGATTAGGCAGTTATATCATGACAAATCGACAAGTTTAGGATAAGGTCTATTATTAGAGCAGTACTAATATCATAGTAGACCATAGTTCTACATTGGTGAGCCCAACTAAAGAAACGCAACCTATTATTATTAATCCTTATTTCCACTTCAACTTTCTCGATCGATTTTATATTTATGTTAACCCTGTATTCTAATAGTCCTCTGATTAATGCTCACATGCATTATCGTAATATTATATTGATTAATCCTCATGACAAACTAGCTCAATCGATAATAAAAACCGGTCGTCTATATTAACTAATTAGCTTTGATGGTTTGTTAACAAGCTGTAATAGCATTTACATGCTTCAGCGACATAGTCTTGTTTAAACATCAAGCTCTAGCAAATATGACCTGTAAATAGCGTAAATATACATTGACTAACAATGCGATCAAGGACTAAATAGTTATCTGGATCTAATTCTTGGTATTCCTTCAACTCATCATGTTCTAAACTATGCACTATCCTGTAATATCTTTTCTTCCGACCACTGCCTGCCTAATTTCATATTTTCGAGTTCCATTGCCAAACAACAAGGATGACACTTCTCCAAAAACATACGGTGAGTTTCAGCTATAAGTTTTCTGCAATCATAAAGTCATTTTAGATGACTCGTTCAATGGCAACCACACAATTACCTGGATTCATTTGATTGTTCTGATCCGAGCGAGTGGCAAAAACGCCAACAGCATCAAGCACCCTAGAATTAATTGTCATACTGCATGTTTTATTCTGGATACTTTTGGATCATTACTACTCCTCACGAATGGCGTTATATATGTCGTCCACTGAATAATCTAATTTTTCAAAAATAACCCAGGCGAGTCCAACTATTTTACTTAATGATTTTTTGTACTTAACATGTATATGTCTTCCAGTTGATTTCGCCATATATTTGTAAGTGTCCCTAGGCTAAATGCAGTAACTTCTTATGGAATGTTTATAACGCATCATATTCCTGCCTGAAGTTTCACAAGCAGTCTTAACTTTAAAATTATTTATCTGGTCATGTTCATTATTTTTAAATTTTTATATACGTCAACAACCTGCATGTTAACCTGGCCCGTACATACGTTTTACTATGTCTTCATATCTTTTGAATTTAGAAATCATCTGAATCGCCTTTAACATTTATCAATAAACCCATCATAGTCGTTGTTGCTAATCGTATTTGGGTTTATGGATTGGTTTATCGTATTAGCAGCCTAAAATGCGAACATAGTTTAGATTATAAGATTACAAAATTTAGGTACTATCAACTACACTAGTAAAATAACTAAATCCTCAGGTAGCTGTTGGCTAAACAAACGTTTAAAATCAAAACTCAGTAGCCTACTAGAATTAACACTAAACGAACCTTTCTGAATTAAAATTTATAATTAAATTAGGCGTCTCGGATTCTTTAACGTTACAAATTTCTGATAATCTCGAATCACCTAAAGCAACAATACCTATTTTTCCACTGGCTAATCCTCAATCAACACTATGACTAATTAAACATAATAGTTTCAGGATATCGTCATAAAGCATTGTCATGACTTGACAATCACGTAATATGATTGATAAAATTAATGAAACTATTAACAAAATCGGTCAGCAGATTGACTTATAATTATCACTAGTGTTGTTTTTTCTTTTATCTTCATTCACTACAGATGATTACAGTATGTTTCTCTATCAGTTGCTTATTCAGTAAATATCTCAAAACCTTGTCAGTCTAATTGGAGGTTTAGCGACACAATCATGCATGCAAATAATCAGTATAAGCAGTCGAGCAAATCTCCTGCAAACTGAAAACATCAATGTCGAATTTACCCCAACACTGACTAAGGTTCAAGCCATTATCATAGACATGAGTTGGGAGTGTACTCCCCTTGGTTACAACTTATGTACTCCCTGATAATCACATGAGCATCACTCACTGTTAATCATCTTGTAAAAACTTATTTAGCCGAATACATCTTGCAGCACCACATCACTTCGTAATATGACACAGGCCTAACTGATTTTAATAACTTATAACCACTATATCTCAATTAAATCGTATTCCGCCTTATGATAAACTCCATACTTGCAACTAACTTGTATGCCCAATCAGCCAGCAAGTATAAATATAAATAAATAGTCTATTGCAGATCAGAACATTGAGTCCGGAGCATGTCTCTTACGAATACACTCATGTTTAACGATTTGTCCCTAGCTATCTGTCCAAAATTCATATAATTATCACTCATGTATTTAAATTTTATTTTGATAACCATTCATGTGTATTAGTAGTATTACTAAATTCTATCACGGTCAAGTAAAAATGAGGTTGAGAAAATCTCCCCGTAACTAAATAAACCGTATCAAACTAACTGGAACATTAGTTGGAATTCTTCTCCACGGTATACTTTTGTTCCTTCAGTTAGCCTACTAATACAGATGCAATTGGAATTCAACTCATATGGACAACTTACCGGGATAATCGTTATCCGATTTCATAATTTAAACCAAAACTAATACCAATATTAACATTTCTACAATATTCATTATTTTAATATTTCTAAACACAAAATAATTACTGCCTATAAGTTAATTTATTAACACGCATCGTTTTATTATTATTATTATTGTAATCCCATTTTTTATAGTTCAAATAATCTTCAACCAAATTTTCATTTTAAGCGTGTTGATCATGAAAGCAGATATTTTAAGATTATTACATGTATTTTCCGACCAGATACTGCCTTCTTTTTGATTTATCTTTCAGCTTATCAATACCCGGAGGATCTTTATTATCCTTGGTAACCTCCGGCGCGCGACGATCCCATCCAATTTGGTATCGAACCAACATCACGTTGATTCTGGTGGGAGAGTAGTGTAGTGGCATTGGACAATAGCCACACAATCCACAAAGCTGTGAACACCAGACTACTCAGAAAATAGATATTCAATATTTAACTCGGGGAAATACCTAACAATGGAGAAGGCGCGGAGAATGATTTGAATGGACTGGAGTTGATCGAGTGGCATGGCTCGTCCATGCAGGCGTGGTCCATCTCAGTGTTACTTTATATCTTCTATTCATATTAAATATATTGTTCTTTCTCTAGCCTAACCTTGTTCCTCATCATGTATTGGTAATTGATACGATACAGTGAGTTGGTGTAGTGGATGGTGTGACTTCCACGTAAGATCTTATAGATTAGGCAGTTATATCATGACAAATCGACAAGTTTAGGATAAGGTCTATTATTAGAGCAGTACTAATATCATAGTAGACCATAATTCTACAGACTGACTGGTAAAAAGCAACGAGAATCCTGATAGATTTGCAAATCTATGCACATTCAACATTGTCTCACAAATGCACACATAAAGTTATATGGATCTTGCCGGACAACACAATATAGGACAAGATCGGTCACATTTGCATCACTGAAAGTTTCAGAACGTCAATGGAAAATATAAAAAACAGGTGAGGATGTGACATGGTTCTAGATAGAATGACTAACTAAGACTCGTGAACTGCAAACACGAGAGAATCAAGCTGGCTTCAGACCTGGTCGTGGATGCATCGACTACATATTCACCATTCGTCAGGTTCTAGAACACAGGCATACTTATCGACGTCCGACAATGGTGGTCTTTCTTGACTTAAAAGCAGCTTTTGACTCTGTAGACCGCGAGATTCTGTGGCAGTGTCTGTCATTGAGAGGAGTATCTCAGAAGTACATAAACCTTGTGAAGATTCTTTACTCCAACACTACTAGTCAAGTTAGAGCTTATGAAGAACTGTCATCTGCTTTTGCAACCTGAAGCGGTGTCCGTTAAGGCTGTCAACTTTCTCCAATGTTGTTTAACTTCATCATAGACCTAATGATGGAAATACCATTCTCGTCGACTGAATTCTCGGGCATTGATCTCCTTCCAGGAAGTCCACTTATCGACTTACAATATGCAGATGACATAGTCCTGTTTGGTGAAGACGCTGACAAAATGCACAGCCTTCTGGTAGCACTAAGCAACAATGCCAGGATGTTTGGAATGCGCTTCTCTCCCTCCAAATGCAAGTTGTTGCTTCAGGACTGGTTTGCGTCTACACCTGAATTAAGGATAAGGAGTGAAGTGGTCGAACGCGTTGACAACTGCACTTATCTTGGAATTATGATCAGCCCTAATGGGTTGGTGTCTGACGAAATCTCAGCACGAATTCGAAAAGCTCGTTTGGCTTTTGCCAACTCGCGTCACCTATGGCGAAGGCGAGATATCCGTCTGTCGATTAAGGGACGAGTATACTGCGCCGCAGTCCGTTCTGTTTTAATTTACGGCAGCGAAACATGGCGATTAGGAGTAGAAGACACTCGTAAGCTACTAGTATTTGACCACAGATGCCTTAGAAATATTGCTGGCATCTGCTGGGATCACCGGGTAAGTAATAGTGAGGTTAGACGCAGGGTATTAGGGAATGATGGTAAATCAGTTGATGAGGTTATGAATCTTCATCGACTGAGATGGTTGGGCCACGTGTTACGTATGCCTGAGCACGAGATATGAGCAAACTCGTTGAATTCAGGACAACTTTCAAGTACTTCTACGAAGCCTTACAGTATCTACTGAGACAAGATGAAACTACTATGGAAGGTATGAAAAAAACCGACTTCATTGTGCCTGGAGGTTTTCAGCCGTAACAAGCAACCTAATAAGGAATGGATCTCTTTCGAAACTCAAGGAATCAAATAAGAGAAGTTGGGTGGTCAGCTTTGATCACGTACCGACCAAATTAAGGCAACACAGATCGCTATTGAACAATCATTTGAATGAAACTTCGTCACCATACATCAACATCGCCTATTATGATATAGTGTGGCAAGAGAACATTATGGAACATACTTCAACACTATGGTGTACCTGAGAAGGTCACCAACACCATACGAAATTCACACAGCGGACTACCCTGCAAAGTCGTGCATGGAGCACAGCTAAAATATGCATTTCAGATAAGAACAGGAGTCAGATAAAGCTATCTACTCTATCCCTTCCTTTTTCATCTGGTGATTGACTGAATTATGGAGACCTCCACATATCAGGCGAAGCATATGATACAGTGGACACATTGGAGGTAAGTCGAGGATTGGTAAAAATAAGGACAGCATTCCTACAATTGAAGAACATATAGAACTCAAAACAACTGTCAACAAATACGGCAGTCATAATCTTCAATACAAACTTCAAGACAGTTCTACTGTATGAGGGAATCATCAAACTGCATCGCCGGGCGAACACTAACTTGGAGTTCTAAAGGGAAACGAAAAAGCGGAAAGCCAAAGAAAACACTATACTGGGAGTTGGAAGCGAACATGGAAACCATCAATAGTAACTGGAAAGGATTGCCCAGTAAAGAGTTGGATAGAGAATGATGGTGAGATGACTACGCGCATCCAAGTGAGGTAACAGTCTCAGGCAAGTTCTTACACATTATCAATTAAGTATATTGTTTATTTATTCATGAAACGACCATCTGATAGCACTCGAATTATCTGTTTGTTATTTCCACATTGCTACCAACCAGCCTTTGGACTGGTAGTGTGTTAGTTGCTGGCATCCACGATACACCCTAACACACACACCACTGTACACTATACTTTCAAAGAACTCGCCGTTCGGTCTGCTAAATAAACTTAATATAAGCAAACCCGTTGAAATGCAGCCCAAGGTTACTGAAGGAGTTGGCAAATTTTGTCGAAAATCCATTGAACATATGTTTTAACCTATCTGTAACCCAGTTTCGATTACCATTAGACAGAAGGAATGCCACAATAAGTCGAAACAGGTATGAGACACAAACCTGAGGACTATCATCCGTTGGCTTAACCAGCGTCGTTGCTGAAATTTCAGAAGGATTTGCTCACATATCTAGACGAGAACCGGATTCTTTCTGAACATTATCATGGCTTTAGAACAGACTACTCATTTCTCACTGACTTATTAGTGGCCCGCGAAAATTGGTGCGCTCTTATGGATCTAAAGTTACCTGTAAATGTTGTAAGGCTTTTTACAAAGTTCCTCAAAACCGGCTGTTAAATAAGTTAATATCGTGATGGGAGGCAATCTATTGAAGTGGATAAAAGACTTCCGTGTTGGGCGTCAACAAAATGTGTGGGTGAACATGGAGTTGTCTAGCTGGGAAACTGTGTTTGGCGGAGTGCTCTAAGGTACAGTTTTGGTGCCAGTGTGGTTTCTTTTATGTGTAGATGACCACCTTATTCCTGTATCAGCATTTGTTTTGTTATATGCTGATGATGCAAAGATATAGAGATAAAAAGTGAATGTGACAGTTTACAGCCTCAAAATGACCTGAAGAAATTATCTGAATGGTCCAAAACTTGGTGGTTGGCAATAAATGCTTCCAAGTTCATTGTAATGCATATTGGTCACTAATTTACGGATACCTACACGGTGAATATCAGTGAGACTCCTGTTATTCGAACACACAATGACTTCGGAGCCATTATTAGCCATGAATTAAGAACTACTGCACTCCGCTATGTAATAACTGCCGAAGGCTTTAGAACTCTACGGTCAACACATAGGGCCTTTAGTCATGGCGATACTAAAACGTTTTTGACTTTATATACAGTATTCGTTCGTCCTAAACTCGAGTATTGTATACAGTCGGCTCGCCCCTCCCTGAAACTAGACAATGAGCTGTTGGAAAATGTTCAGAGAACTGTTCAGATAATTCTCGGAATAGCAAAGCTCCCATATGATGTTTGACTGGCTAAACTAAACCTATTTCTATTGTCATAGAGAAAAACCAGAGGTGACTTGATCACGGTTCCTAAATTACTTAGTGATAAATTTGCATCTGATATGCCATCACTTTTTGTCTGCCGATAAAGAAAATTTGTGATGACACCCTAAAAATGTTCACTAACTCAGAACAAAATATTTGTCAGCTGACTACCGACTTTCCCATAGAATCAACGAGGGGAATTCATTACGATAACATATAATTGAAGCTCTGTCTGCTGACTCCTTCAAAAGAGAGTTGGATCGACCGAGTTATATAAATTGATAGGAGTAATATAGACCACCTAACCTTCTATCCCTACAGGACTGAAACTGAAACTGCACTCGGCAACCTTCAAGTACGTGCGTTATTGAAATCTTTATTTACATTAGAGATATTCAGTCCTGTAAAGTAGACAATTTCGATCTCTCAAAAACGATGAAATACCAAGACATGGTTATAAAGAGGAATAATATTGAATTTGAGAAGTTAGCGCAATGGAAAAGATATTCAAACTACTTAAACAACTCAACTGTGAGAACCGAGAAGGAAAAACAGTGGTCATCGAACAAGTACTTAATAAATAGGTAAACTAAGCTCTCTTTGAGTTAACCTTTTACAAGTTCACAGGATTTTGTTGGAAAGAACAATGAACATTCACAGGAAAGTTTGCAAGCTAGAAGAAATAAGCTACTTCAACTTCTGGAAA